AGTCTTTTCCTACCCAGGTCCTAGGATGCTGCATTTTCCCCTTAAGCTCCACATGGAACTGAAGTGAGGTGCCTGTTCTGTTGCGGTGTGTATCTTGTAAAGGTCTTAATATTCATAAAAAGGATGTTAACCTGAAATTAAGATGTGCTGGTACCTAAAGATTATGGATTTATACTTGTGGCTACATGGAACAATTGCTCTCCTGATACTAATTGGTAGTATAATGTTAAAGTATCTCCACTTGGTACTTTAAAAAAGACTCATTGAGAGCAATTGTATTTGTGAGGTTTGCCTCAGGAAGGATAGGTTCTAAAATTTATTCATCGATTAAGGCAATAATCAAAAAGCTATCTCTGTTATTAACTAGCATCTTGCTGAATTTATTTTTAAAGGTTTATTTATTTACTTATTTATTTTTACTTCCTTTCACTTTAGGTTATACTGAAAGGTATTATAAAGAAAAATCCAGTGAATGAGCACTGTGTCCTATAGCGGTTACTGCTGAGATGTCCTTACACAGTGAAAATGTTTCTCCATTCTGAATAACAGGATCAGGGTACTGAGAAAAATGTTTTAACCTTATGGACCATGAAATGAATAACAAATCCTGTTTTTCTCTCTGTATTGGCTGCTAGGAGTCTTCAAACTAAATATTTTACGAAGCTCTGAAAGTATATAGAAATCCTGGCATAAACTTTATGATTCAGCTTCACCTCTGACTGCATCCTACTCTTTCCTTATTTATCTTTCACCTCCTATTTCTGCTATTCATCTTGGTATACTGAATATTTCTTTATAAGCCACTTTAAATCCCTTCCAACATAAAACTTTGTTAATAATAAATGGTGTTTTAGTGTGTCGTCTTTCTAGTTTACAAAGACTTTTTCAAAATACTGACTAAACCAGACCAGGACCTAACATTGTTATTTTGGGGGATCTTTGGGTAGCATACTATGAAATAAGATCGAATGTAGAGTGATGGGTATTTATTAAGGCATATTCTTGTGACCGACACTGGGAAGAAAGAAGAAGGAAGTAGGACAAATTGAGCAAAAAATTGAGCTTTAGTGCATGCTGGAAAACTGGAAGTTCTAGAGCTTAAGTGGCCCATCAAAGTTGTCCTAAACTGAACTGCAAGAGAAGGGCCTTTAAAACCTCTGCCTCAATCAGGGCCGAGGTTTTAAAGGCCCTTTTGGGGCAAGCAAGTGAATCTCTACACTACAAAAGAACTGACCAGTGAATGCTCTCTGATGACACATTCCCAGTAGGTACAGAAACAACCCTTCCTTGAAGAAGAAGAAAATGTAGCATCCTGTCTAGCATTCATATGCTATATATGTCAAACCCTGGGGAAATGGCAATATCCTAGGAAAGTTAAATATACTCAAGATGTTATTTTGGTCATGTAGCTATGTACTCAAATCTACTCTGCTCAGAGAACACACATAGTATATCTACCTGAAAAGGCATGAGGTGAGTGATAAACATCTTTTTATCATATATATATTTCATATATACTTAATATATAATATTAATTGCATGTCTATTTTGTGGTATATTCAATCTTTAGACATTATGGAGAAGTCAAAGTAGAAAATATTCTAGACATATATTTAAATAAGCATCATTACATTTTATGCTTCTATCATTTTGGTGTCATAATGGGGCACTCTAGCTTCATAGCCAGTCCTCTCCAGTCTTGCACATTTCCTCATGAACAAAGAAGATTGACCGCTCTTAGTAAAGGTTGCATCACATGATTTGAAACTGAATAGTTAGGTAACTCGATTTACTAACACTAAATACATACACACACACACACACACACACACACTACATTTTCTTCCTGAATATGTTAGCAAGTTACTGCCATCTTAAAGCCAAACCCCAAATTATTACATTTCATAAATTCCATGAGTGCATAGGTTGTTGGGCTCAGATGGAGAAAGAAAATTATGTAAAGAAATATGTAAATACTAGTGGAGGTCAGATGCAAACGTTAGTTAGCATGATGCTCAATGAAAGTTATGAAATTTTTCATTTTTTTAGCATCTTTTTTATCTTTTTACAATCTAAGGCAAATAATAACAGTAGATCTGCTTTTTGTTTGTTTTTTTTTTGTTTTCTTTATGGGTTTTTGTTGTTTTGCTTTTGAGTTTTGACTTAAAGTCTGCTTAAGTCATTTCAATTGGAAAGAATGAGTGTTAAGAGAGACTTGAAAGTTACTCATTTTTGATGGAAAATTTAGAATCCAGGTTTTCTGACTTCTACTCCAGTGTTTTCCTTCCCTATTACTCCATTCATTTATATTAAATAGCTGTAAGAAATCAATAGCACCAAACTTCCACATTGTCTGTGTTGGCAAGATAACCGCTTTGTTATTCCCTTTCTAAAAAGATTTTTGAAAAACTAGCTCCCTGGAGTACACAGTTGCAACTATTGAAGATGAGCTGTGTTTTTACCAGTCAATGTATGTTTGACATCAGTGATTAATATGGTCTTCCCTCAATTGCTGAGTTTCTTTATCTTGGTGAATAAAGGATTGACAAATTGTTAGGCAAAGAGCATGTGCTTCAAAACTATCCAGATATACCTGAGTATCAGACAGCCTAACACATTAGAGACTGAGGAAATGTGCACATCAGTTTATTTTTGTTCTTTGAGAGGAAATGTAGCTTATGTGGGACTGACTTTTTATGACATTTATTTAGTTCTTGAATTGACTGACAAGCCTATTAATGTATTCCCTGAACTTTATTAATGTAATTGGAAAATAGCCCACATGCCAATCAACTTATAATAAGTAATTATGTTCATAAATGCTGTAAAATTATTAGCTTTTAATTTGACCCCACCACATACTTTCAAAACAGTAGCCTGAATTTTTGTTTTTTTCTAGAGGAACAAAATATACTGACAAAACATTCACGAAGGATGTTTTTAACTGCTCAAATGTTCACCGTCACCAAATGGTCAGCAAAATGACTATTACCATAGTAACTCATGAAGTCATTTTAAAACTATTAACCACCTTAAACAGTCTATATAACATATAGTTAAAACAAAGTCCTATTTCAATTAAACATGTGCCTGGGAAAGACTTATATTCCACAGTCTGGTTTAAAAATAGATACATAGCATGGAAAAAGAGAGAATGGAAAAAGAAAATGAGGACCCATTTAGTATTCAGAGATGCAGTACTTAAACCTATAAATTTACAGTGTACCAGCAAAATGTCTATCTTAAATGACTCAAATGTATCATTGTCTATGCCCATTTTTTTTCTCAGATAAAAAAAAATCTTTTGTAGTCTTTGGTCTAGAAACTCAGGTCAAAAGGCAAAGAACTGAACAAGAGAACAGATTACATGTGGATAACAGAAAAATGTATTTGTGTTTTGTAATCTCATGTCAGATTTTCAAGCTGGACAAACTCTTGCCCTTTGGAGTCCCAGAATAACCTCTGAATAAAGAGAGTCCTGTAAAAACTTTATCATATTCTTATACAACACTTTATAATAATGGGCAGCACTACAATATATGACAATCGGCGTCAAAAAAAAATATTGAGGAATTTCATTGATTTATTTTCAATTTATACTTTTTTCCCTTAAAGCAAATCATTTAATTAAGAAGTTTAACCTCATCACAATGTAAAAATATATATTAATAAATTAAGCTGTGTTTGCATTCCGGGTTATTTTTACATAAGAAAACAAAGATCAAATTAGAAAAATTATAGGCTATTTTTTCCCAAACTTAAGTCTTATACTTAAATTACATTTTACCCTTGAATTATTGAAGGATAAACTCAGAGAAGTACAACAAAGTTGCTCCCTCAATTTTTTTCCATTAGGCATTAAGCATGCAAGCACTGGCACCACATTATCATAGAATTTGTTATTAATTTTACTTAGAAATATTGCAATGCTACTTTTGAACTCCACAGAGCATAATATTTCTATACAACCAACACATGATTAATCTATAGAGCACAAGTAAATAATGTAAAGGGCAAAAAATATACATTTTCCTTTTTCCTAGCATTATAATTGCATGTTTCTTGAAATGTACTTATATTGGGGGTATGTCCCTCTTACATTTTAGTATGCAACAGAAGCAAAATAACTTGATGGTCCTGTTTGCATTTGGAGATTATAATTTAGCTAGCATGGTTTATGATCTACTGAAAGTAAATCTAAGTGTAAAGCATTGTGCACATATGTTTTTCAATTACTCAATGTTGAAATAAAGTAATTCTAGAAGGCTGCCACTTTTCATTGTGCCTTGAATCAATGTAAACAGAAGTTGGATGGAGAAAGTGTTTGGAGGCTAAGAGAATTGCTTTTAAATAGTTACCATCATATTTCAAAAAGTTTACTGAAGACCATGCTTTTGAGCAATCTAAGTCAGATTCAGAAAAGTATTGTATATTTTCTCTCATATGTGGAAGCTAGAGAGAAAAAAAAAAGAAGAAAAAGTGGGAAATTCCATGAAAGTAGAAGGGAGACCTTTAGAATAAGAGGGTCAGGGGAAGTGAGGAAAGAATAGTAAGGTAGGTTTGGGAAGTGTAACTAATCAAAATCTGTTTTTATGAATATATAAATATGTCAAAATGAAATCCACTAATCTATATAAATATGCAGATAAAAAATTATAAGTTTAGTATTTCAATATATATTGATCATAGGTTTCCAAATACTTATTTTAGTGTATTAAATATGGGTTCTTGAAGATTTATAGAAGAGATTATTCAAAGGAAGTTAAGAAGTAAACATACAAAAATCATCATCTGGCATTAACAGATATTGATTTTCTTGATCTTTGGGGGATTTCTATGCCTACAATACCCTTATATTTAATGGTGTTTAGGATTATAATTTTCTGAAGACAATGACAGCATATCTTTCAATATTGTTACTTCTGTTTCATTTTGATATCTAAATACTAAACATTTTAAAATACAGTCCTTCACAATACAGCACCTCTAGAAAGGCTTACCTTGCACAGTTAGATGCACCTGCATTGTTCTCGGTGTATGTTGAGTCTGAACAGAACATGTGTATGGGCCATCATCTGTCACATCCACATTCTGTATCTGGAGGCTGTAATCTCTTTTATTCAATGTTGAAATGGAAACTCGAGGATCCACTGACCACTTATCACCTCCAGCAAAAATAATACTTGACCGGTTCAGCCAGGCACCCTTTGAAGCTCCATCTTCCAAATAACACCTAAAAATTACCAAAGACAGAACGCTATTAATCAAAGTGAAAATGAGAAACAACATTATCTTTGGTCTGAGTGTTATTTCCAAATGTTGAATAATAGCACAACATCAAATGCAAACATCAAACTCAGGAGACATGATACTGATACAACTTCCATTCCCAATGCAAATCTGTTAACAATATCTGCATACATTTGTGTGTGTGAGTGTGTGGAGGGGGAGGTGTTTCAATGTATTTAAATGGACAATCAAACTCTTTTTTTATCCTGTCTGGATGAAAAATCCTACCAAATCTGAGTGAAGTAGAATTAATTCAAATAACAATCTTCTGCATTAAAACATATTTCTTTGTTTGAAATTATGAGCAGTAGTAAAGGTCTCTGAGTTAGACTGATTTGATTCATTCCAATTCTGAATATAATGAACTAGATGTAAAAAGCATAGAATAATGTCACGTGTTATTATTGTTTTTAATTGCCCAGTGGTGAGCCTGTACCCAGAAACTATAAACTGCATTTTATTGATAAAACTGTAAACTGCTTTTACTGATGGCTGTCTTAATTAAATGTGGCAAAGCTAATATAATACTTTCAGGAGCAAATTTTTACTGTCTTTTCAAATAAACTGTCCAATAGTTTTTCTAGGAAGCATTCATTTATTCTGAAATATTTATAAGTACTTATTTATGGATTCAAAAGGTATTATTACTACCATTTCTCTGTAAAAGTTTGAGACTACTAAGGAAGACTAGTTGAATAACCAATTATTATTACACAGAAGAGAGAATATTTTTATTATATCATGTACAGACACATTGGAGACAAGAAAGGATTGCTGGACCCAGGAAAGGGGTTTGGGAATGTAGAAAAAGACTTTTTGGAAGAGGAAATCCTTGAGGGGTTTGGAAGACAGGGCACTGTGAACAGAGGTGTGACATGTGGGTAAAACCAGATAGAAGAAAGGGAGTGAGGCATTCCATGAAAGCACAATAAAGCAAGAGATATAGAGTAAGAAGGACGAGCCACATGATGATGGCAAGCATAATAGCAATTTGTATATTTTAAGTCTGATTTTGAAACCATTTACTCAAAGTCATATTCTATAACAAGATTCAAAAATACAGCTTTGTATCTAATAGCAGTCAAGCACTTGAAGATTTACAACAGAAGGCTGTGGTCATATGCCAGTGATTTTGCTGAGGACTAGAATTCTATGTTTCATCTTGAAAACGTTCTGTTACAAATTAAAGACTGGTTTTCTTAAATGAGTACAAAGCACAGCTACAGAATGAAAACACACATACATTGAAATAGTTTGACAGCATTTCCACAGAATACCTTGGGGGATTGAACACAGTGTTTGAGATTGCTGCAAAATTGCAAGCTGAAGGCAACAGGGCAGGCTGCTGCCAACTGCATGAAACTAATCACTGGGTGAAAAAGTAAGCAGCAAGGTACTCTGCAGAATCTAATTTGTAGACAGCTTCACTGTCTACAGAATCCCAACTAGTAGAAGTCTTAAAGGTCATTGTTAATTGAAAAGCTTTTCCTTATGTATTTAATGAAGAAAATGAAATCCCTTTAATGATATAATTGAACAATTACAGTATATTGTAATTTTAAATGATATGCAGAAAGAAGATAGAGGGGACCATATTCCTCATTCTGCAAGATCACATTTGCACTGCTGTAGAGTAGAGCTCTAAATACCACGTGTAGGACTGTGTCATTTAGCATCTGGGTTCATCAAGTGTTTATTGTGTGACTGCTGCATTCATAGCCTTTGCAGTTTGTCATATTGGGTACTCATTACAGCCCGGTAGGATATGTACTTCTTTGCCCTTAATCAGTGGAAAACAAATAGAGATGTTTAGGTTAAAAGACTTTCCCAAGCCACATTATTAGTGGGTGGCAAAGTTGAATTTATAATCAAGTCTTCTCTTTCCACATTCAATGTCCTTTCCACTGTAATGCAGATCAAAGACTTTTTAAATGGGTTTCTGAAATGGGAAGATGATTAGAATGTTGCAGATATTACCGCAAGTAATTTCTTATTTACTGAATGTGACCAACTGCTTAACCTGTCCTATTCTAAAAGAAGCAGAAAATTAATTATTAATGGATATTTTACCATGGAAGTGTGATTCGGAGCACTCTGCTGGGCGATTCCCTTTCCCTAGAGATAGTAGCAGCTTTACTTTTATGCTGGTGTGGAGGAAGACACTGGTTAAGAGAATAACCAGCAAGTCTTAGCGTAAGTGTTATTCCTCTGTTTTGGCATGCCAAAGGTCATCACAGAAGAATAGAACTTAACTACTGCACTGTGGGGGAAAACAAAAGGGAGTCCTTTATGTCTCTTTGAGGAGGATAACTATTTCATAATGGTCATTGGTCCCACCCCAATATTTTTCAAGACATACATTAGAAAGACCACATGAATGAGACTCAACATATAAATCTGTTGGATTCCTAGTCCATGCAGAATTTATAATATAAAAAAAGGATGACAAAGCATGTTCATGAATAGCCCTCATGGAGAACAGGGAGTAAAATGAGGTTATTAAATCATCATTCTTCCAACTGGATCATTCTGAGGGTTTCTGAGAGTCTCTGGCTTCTGCCCATGATATTATGTCCATGTCTCTTCTCCCCACAATAAACAGAATGAAACTTTTAGAGTTTAAATCAGATCATCAACAACTCCCAGCCTGTTTCATTCATAAGAACACAAGATCCAGCTGGTGGTCAACCTGTCCTTGAGGCTCTCCTACCCTTGTCTTCTCCACTCTCTTCCACTCTGCTCTAGACCAATCTGTTAGGTGTGTTTCCAAACAGCCAGGTGTGCATGCTTAGTTTGCACTGGCTGTTTCTTCTGCTTGGAACTCCCTCCTCCAGAATTCTGCACAATTTGTTTCCTATCTGATTTAGGTCTTCATCAAGATAACTAAGATATTAAACAGCAGAAATAACTCCACTATTCTCACAACTTTCATTTGGTACCATATTTACTTGACTGATTTTTTTTTCTTCCTCTTTCAGCTAGATGACTCAGGAATGTGTCTATTTGCTTGTCTGTATATTCCAAGGACCTATACATAATGGACAATAAATATAAACATGTGTTGAGTGCTTGAATGAAGGCAAAAGTAAGACATTATTGAAAAAAAGTAATAATTTAGTAAAGTATATAAAAATTTCTCAAGTGCAACATAGTTGGGAAGGCAAGACTACACCCATGTGAACTATAATAGCATATAATTAAATGCAAATATTTGTAACACAAACAATAACTGCTATATGACATAGATGAATGAGCGAATCATATATACCACTAAACAGCTACTTGAAATAAGAAAAAGCTACACCACCTGACTACACTTATAGAGCTCCTTTAAATTTCTGGACATTCTGCATAGTATGTGTTAGGCACTATGTTAGCCACTTTACTTTTATTGTCCGATTTAATCCTCACATAATTCTTTGAGTCAGATGCCACTATTATCTTTATTTAAAAGATGAGAAAACAAAGGGACTTAGATTACTACTTGATCAAAACTTCTTGTCTTCACTATTTTTTGTAGTAATTTTTAAAATTTATTTCTTATATACATGACAATAGTGGAGTGCATTACATTCATAATTATCCATTCCCAGCACAATTTTTTATAACTCTGTATATAGAGTATGTTCATGCCAAATTATGCCATTATACATGAGCTCTTATTTTTTTTTGCATAACAATTCTTAATACACCTTTATACCACAATTTATCATATCTCTGTTTGTATATAAGGTATGTTGACACCAAATTCACATCTTTATACATGTATTTTGTATAATAATGACCGTCTCCTTACACTATACTTGCTATAAAAAAAAAATCACCAAGCTTCTCTTCACTCTTAACCAGTGGCGGATTGTGTAACAGGGTAAAGCATTCTTCCTGTTCAAAATGGAGTCCAAAGGGAGAGGCTTCGTAAAGTGAGAACAGTCAGATCACTAATGTGCAGGATAAAGCCACATTTCCCTGATGGCAAACTCAGATAATTTTTTCTTCTCTGGACTTCCCAATGGAACATTTTAGCAGCTAATGATCTTAGAATCTCTTTGAAGTATATAAAATGAAGGAATCTAAATAAAAATGCTCAATAATGAATATATTCTTTAATTGAATATGGCATGGCTTTTCTTGAAAGTGTGTTTTTTTTTTTCCACTTTAAAAAAAGCACTTGCTAGACTACCTACTTTTCAGGGTGATGAATAAAGAAGTTCTAAAAATATGCTCTTCAGAAGAAGCTGTGTTAACACCATACCAAACATAATGACAAATACTTAAATTTTCAGTCAATCATATGGATGTTTTGTATACATAGTGCCAAACATCTGGCTACTAGAATACGTACAGAAAATAACTTGAACATTTCATTTTGTTTCACAGTTGTTAATTATATAAACCCAGACTCCAGGAGTTAATACTTTTCTAAGAAGGATGGTATTGCTCCTCCTGAACTCTTTCATGAGCTCCCTTATAAATGATGTTACTATACATTAGGTGGCTCCCATTGTGGGGGTATGAAGTCCCATTTGAGAAACTGCTAGTACTATGGGTGGAATAATTCTAACAGATCCTGCCTGTGATACTACCTCCTGTGATGACTAAGTCTGAAATGTGGACATCAGAGTGTTTACTGGAAATTAACTTACTTGGGTTATTTATTATTTTTAAAGCTCTGATAAAAAAAAAACCAAACAAGCAAAAAAAATCTGTTACTTAGGAATGATTTTTCCCCCTTTTATATTTCCAGTTCTCATCACTGAACATCCCTGAACATGAGCCTGAGCACCATTACTGGTATTGAATATAGCAGGATTTGCTCAGCTCCATGGAAATAGATCAGCTCTTCTCAAGCCATGTTGATTAATGAAAGCCCTTATTAAATGCACTAATCAATAAGAGAAGGAAAGCACAAGTTCCTTTGGATTCAAAGTTAAACCATGTGAAAAC